TTGTAAAATTCAGAGGACGCGAATTTAGGTATGAAAATACCTTCGGGAAATAGTTTGGGTTGATTTTCCCCGTTTTCTCCACTACTAAATTAACATACTTATATTATATATACAAAAATGATAATCTTTTGAGAACGTCATAAAATCATCATTTAAATAACACATACCTTTTAATGAATATAACAACTTTTTAATGAATATAAACAACTTAAGTTCTTAATGAATATAAACAAATTTTTATAAATATTGAACAAATTTAACACATGAGTTTATTTATTTTAAGTCAAGATCAAAGAACATCAAAGTTTTCAAAACTTAAAACTCTTTAAAATTCACTAATAACACTCCCTCAACCCAACCTAGTCCTCTAATGTTGTATAGTGCGGAATGCTTTAAAATAATTTCCCATAATGTCTAAACCCCAGTCGATTTCATGTATAGTTGACCCAACGAAGAACTGTCCCGAGAAGTTGAGATAAATCCAAGACGATGTGCCCATTCTTAAACAAGAAAAAAAAATATAGTCATGATCAAACTTCCATTAGTACTAATAAAGCAATGGTACTGTCGAGAAAAGTAACACTTTCACGCCAAAATTTCATAACAAACTTGATTTTCCAAAAATAAAAGTTAGGTAATTTAATCACAACTAACAAATTCAAAGCAACAAGAACATCAAACGAAATTATGTTCATGAAATTGGAACCAAATTTGCAAACTTACCTAGAAAACAAGGTATGGACCTCATATCATTATATATAATCATCTTCTAGCAAATCTTTTAGTATAAAGTATCTTCTATCTCTATATTAGTAAAAGAGAAGTACAAAATATAATACGGGTCGGGTCAAAATTGAAAATTTAACCCGATTTTAACAATTGGATACTTCAAAGTTGGATATTAAATTGGGTTTGGATACATACATCGGATACTTTCCAAATCTAATTTTAAGATTATATTATTTCCATAACTAATTTTATGATTTCCAAAAAAAAAAAATGATAATTTCCTAATATTTCTCTAACTAATCAGTTATTATTTTTTAGTTAATATTATTTTTAATTTATGATATTATACTATACTTTTTTTTTGCATATGTTGCAATTTGAATTTTTCAAAACGGAGATATAACTTTTAGTTAATATTATTTTTAATTTATGATATTATACTATATAATAAAAAAATGTTAATAAATTTTTTTTTTTTTTGCATATGTTGCAATTTGAATTTTTCAAAACGGACATATAATATTCAACTACACTCGGTTAAATATTTTGGAAAATGGTTTAAAATCAGTATAAGTATGACCAATATTAAAACCATTGTTATATGAGCATATTTATAAGTTTAAAAAGTTTCAAAATATTATAATTAAAAGTTTCAAATATATATGTAATTTAGGATTTTAAATATTTTAAATATTGTTTTGGAGACATAGATGTAATTTTGGAGACATAATTTTTATTGATAAAATATATTATATATCAAAATATGTAAAATTTAGATAGTTCGCGGGTAGTTTGTTAAAATCACAATTATAATGGTTAAGCGAGTTATGATTAATATTTTTTACAAAATGAATTCTTACGGGTTAGTCCGTCAAAAAATATATTGTAAGTATGTAATTTTTACATATATTCCTACTTCTACTACAAAATAGTCAAATTGAATAATTTGTCGATAAATATTCTTTCGCGCCGTTAAATTTTCACTTTTTTTTAATTGCATTAAAACTCAATGTATTATTATTTACACGCTTTTTTGTTTATTATTGAATTTAAAATTATTACACAAATATATGATTCATCGTAATCGACTATAAAATTAAAATGTAATATATTATAATCTGTTAAAAATTATATATAAGTAATTATTTCCCCCGTGCTGTAGCGCGGGTCCGAACCTAGTTCTTAATAAAACAATAATCAAATTTGAAATATTATAAAATTGATGTATGCATAAAAACAATCTCCCAAAACCTTTTTAGAAAATAAGATACACTAGTTCCTTTTTGAATAATAATTTTTGTTTCATTATAATTAAATAGCTTTCGGTATTTCTTAAAAATAGTAAAAAAAAAAAATTATGTCTAAATTGTAGCTTTCTGTCGAAATGTATTGTGACCGTTGTTTTAACATTACCATTAACATTTTCAGAAAGTTTGTAAAAACAAAGAAACATTATTGGATTCACATTTTCGTAAATTCTCCTAACTATAATGCAAAAAAAATTATGATTAATAATCTTGTATATAGTTTTTTTTTTCTTTTTCATTTAAGATTGATAATTTTTTTTTTTTTTTTTTTTTGAATTCATTGCATATGTTTTACTTTTACTTGACTTGGTTTCATATATACCAAGGAGTAGACAAATCCACTGACGCCAAAGAAAAAAAAAAAAAAAAAGCAACAGAATCTGAAATGGAAACGAAAACGTAAAAACGATATTAGGAGCAAAGGTCTACATAACATCCACTGAAGCGCCCCCAAAAGACAAGTAAACCTTCTTAAGTAGTTTGTTTGCAAAATCCCCCTAATCTACTAAACTTAATCTAAAGTCTTCTCCAACTTGAAATACCCTTTTCTTTCATGGCCCTAACAGCTCAACAAAACATAGGGTATCATTCGGATAAAGTTTTCGCGGAATTTTCATCAGAGGAAGTGAGGACCAATGAGCTTTGCAATCTCGAGGAACCCAACCCGATCTTTGCCTTCGAATATCTTCTTTAGCTTCTCGTCACATAGTATCTCTCTCTTGTTCTGTGGATCCTGAAGAACAAAAACACAAGTCATTTAGTAAAACATTGATGCAAGCGAAGCTTGGTTCGCTAACCTTGCAGCTTCGTGACTGACATGCGAAGGAGAAAGTAAGAACGAGCTTTCTAAAAGTGTAAAACATAATAACTTTTGGCTACTTTTTTGCTATAGACTTTACATGTTTCAGAGAAACAGAATCTTGAACATTTGAAACTCAATAGAACAAGAATTTTATGAGCTGGAAGAGTTCTATCTTAAAATGTCAATCTAGTTTAACACTTTGCGAGCTTAACCAAAGTATCAAACAGCAAACAGCGACAATACGAAAGAAACAAAGATCAACGCATTAACTATGCAGCCAAACATTCTCAGGGTCTAAATGAACACGATGAGAAGGAGTGGCGACAAAACAGGTTAGGTTTCTAATCGAAAACTAGATCCTTGTATAGACAATTATCTAGTACTATAGAAAAAGGCTCAAGAACAGAGTCCTGAGAAACATATCAGTCACACCTCAAAGAACACACATTGCCATACATGTAAAAACCACACTCAATCATTCAATCACAACTAGTTAAACAAAAATTTATAAACGTTAACCACAAAAATCATATGAAGCAATTGGTCACTAGTAGAAGATAAAAACAAAAGCAAAATCATATCAATACTATATTACATCTTCACTCCCAGTTAACAAACATATGCAAAATCTTGAACACTCTCACTAGTTAATAGACCAGCTCAAGACTAGAACTTAAACAACAGTACTAACACAACCTGAAGCTTTCTAATCTAAAACCACAAATCCTAAATACACTTTCACTACAGCAACTCAACTGTGGAACTATAACAAGAAGACAACCTAATACGATCTATTAATCTTTTTGAATCCTAAGAACATTTTCATTACAGCAACTCCACTGGAACTATAACAAGAAGACAACCTTATACAATATATGTCTTCTTAAATCCAAACCCGTTCGATTTTACAAACAGAAACCCCAAAATTTGCCACTCAAAAACATCAAACAACCAGATTAAAGAAATCGAGACATAACCCTAAGGAATGGAACTGAAACAACACTACTAACACCAATCTACTGAAGCTTTCTAATCTCATAACACAAAATCCTAAGAACACTTTCATTACAGCAACTCAACTGTGGAACTAATAAGAAGACAACCTGAAGCTTTCTAATCTAAAACCACAAATCCTAAGAACAATTTCATTACAGCAAGTCCACTGTGGAACTATAACAAGAAGACAACCTTATACAGTATATGTCTTCTTCAATCCAAACCCGTTCAATTATACTAACAGAAACCCTAAAGTTTGATACTTTATAGCACCAAACAACCAGATTTAAGAAATTAAGACAAAACCCTAAAGAGAGACCAAAAAAAGAGTTGATTTTTAGATTTACTTGAAGGTCGTGTTCTTTGATATAAGCCCAAATGCGTTTAAGAGCTTGTGTACGAGGGATCTCAGGAAGACCAACGATGTCTTGCATCTCAGGAGTCACTGGTCGAGGCTTCATGATACCACGTGGCACCCTTTTATTAGTTGCCGTTGGCTCTGAAGACTCTGTCGCAGATGTTACAGCTCGGACCAAGCGTAGTTTAGCCGCTGGGTGAGAGGTTACCCGGAGAGACGAAGGAGGAATCGAGGCGTTGTTGTGGAACGACGGCGTTTTGATGCAGAGGAAGGTGGAGAATGTTCCAGAAGAAACCGCCATTGTTCGTCGGTGAGTTTTTGTCTGTGTGGTAGTGTTGGATTTTGAGAAGACGAAAGGGGTTTTGTATTATCCTTTTACTTCTTTTTTTTTTGGTTTTCTGAATTTTTTGGGGTTTTGTCTTAAATCGAGGAGAAGAAACATATTATTTCCACTTTACCTCTTCCTTTTTCCCTAATCTTTTATATATTAAAAATAGGTTAAAGGTTTTTTTGATTTTATAATATATTTTTTTTTCTTTTTTTTTTTATAGTGGCATGTTTTTATTCTATATCTATACTATTAAAAAGGGAACACTTTTGATAAGAGCATCATTATCGCAACAACCGTTCGGGCTTTGAGGGATTATTAAAAGCCTGAATAACGAAAACAGTGTTTTATTAAGGTGTATCCGCTTCTTCGATAAGAAGTTTTCGATTTCGATTCTTATGCCACGTGGCGGAAGGAGATATGTTAAAATAAATGAGTTAACAAAACGTTTATTCTTTACTATTTTCTGAAACGAATGAAAAATCCCAAATCGAGTCGATCCTCTTCGAACCCTACTTTCACAGAGAACTCAACGATGAAGGATCTCGATTCTTGTCTTCTCCGGCGATGTCTCTTCCACGTCTAGACTTCCGATTCGTATAACTTAACAGTCCATGTGACTAACTTTGTCTCCGGCGTCTGGACGGCGATCCTCTCCGTCTTGCAGCTAGATAATATGGTTTGTTTACTCTTATTTTCTCTGTTTTTTTTTTTGCTTAATCCTTCTTTTTGTCTCAGATTCGAACTTTTATGATGTGGATTGAATAATCTCAATGGCTTATAATTGGGATTACACTTGATCTTTACTCACACACTTGATTTTTAACAGAGGGATACTGTGGGAATTGGTGGTTCTTGGTCTGAGTTCGTCGATTACATTGTCGCTTCTTTGAATTCCGATAATGTGAAGCTTCTCATGGGACAAAATTCTGTTTCAAATGGTAAAATTACTTTAGTGTCTTCCTGACAACTTCCATCAAAATGAAGATGCTAACTTAGTTGAATGCTCTTAATTGTTGTGTTGCGTGTGATTTGTTAGCCTGCTTGAGCTTAATTCCCTGTTATGTTTCAATAACATATTTTTTTTCAGGTCTCGAGATTGCGCGATTAGTTTCTCAGAAGGCGAAAGGAATGCCTCGCATAATAGTTCCTCTAACAAAGATGACAGACTCATCTGCTAGTGAGGCAATGGCTAATCTGTCTCTCGAGTTGTTCAGAGCATTCATGAACAAGCAGCCACTTGCAAGGTACATTAACTATTACGATGAAGCCACTCTGCTGTTTTTTGCAAATAAAGACCACACACTCTTTATGGCAGTAGAGAACGCTTATTTACACAATCGAACGTGCCATTCATGTACCACAATATAGGTTCTAGGCTTCTCATTCTGGATTTTTTTGGAAAGAAACTGTTAACCAACAATACTCTCCCGGTTAGTCATGTTCCAAGGTAGATGTCATAGCTCCATCAACAGATAGCCACGTGTGAAGTAGTAGTGTGTAGAACCGTGTTTTGTGGTATAAATGACTTAGGTAGAGTAGTAACCTATAGAATCAGGAGATGATGGGGCTTGATGACTTTAAATCTTTACTAAGACATGGTTGTTTTTGTTTTGGTACATAGTCAGTTAAGATATACTAATCTTGTATGAACATGTAATGCTTTGTATATAGTAAGTTGCTGAATATGTTTGGAATTTTATGTCACTTAAGGTTGGAATCCTGCCACCAAACTGGCTAGATGGAGCCAAGTATCTAGGTCAAAGAAATGTGAGTGGGGTTCTTTGCAATGTATGGGAGAAAGTAGACTTTATATGGTACTATGAAGATGTTGCAACCAAGAGACCCGTGCAACGGATCTTCTATACATGTGAGCTCGCCATGACATTCTCTACTTAGCATGAAATATCTGTTTTATTTCTAGCAAAGTTCATCTGAAATGAGGAGAAAACTTGTTGTAGGGAGGGAGAAGGAGTCAGAAGCACAAGAGTGAATAAACTTGTTTCAATTTTTTTATTATGAAATTATTTATAAAAATTATTAATATGTTTTACATTATTTTATTATTGAAAATTTAAGAACTAACAGGTTCAACCAATACTTACCTTTTTATTTTTGGTTCTTAACATACACTATTACATTATTAATATATTAAACATATACTAAAATGCATCTTTGGGGTTATACCCATAATGATGCTCTAAGTGTTACCAAACAAACTTAAAAAAAAATATTACAAAATATACAATCCCAACCATGTAGCCAAACATACTAAAAGACAGCAAAAATATTTAATTAAATAAATAAAAAATAAAAAACTAAAACAACTATATTTATGGAAATCATATTAATTTTGTTACCATAAAAAGTAGAAAATTAAATTAAAAATTAAACATATGGAAACAGATTTAATATTAAATATATACTTTCAGATATTTTTGAAAAAAAAAATTATAATTAATGAAATGTAATAAAAAACGATTATATATTTAAGATAAAGAAATATGATAGTTTGGGTAAAAAAATGTTAAATTAGAAAATAAGCGACTAATCAAATTCTATATAGCATAAAATGTGAAAAAATATACAACATATTTAATATTATATCATCAAATTTTAAAACTATGTAATTTTAAGAAGATAACAAAAAAATGTTTAAATTAAAAATCTGAAAATAAATCAATAAATTTTTTAAAAATTCTAAAATCTTGCAAAAAAATTATATAATGTCGTACTAGAAATAAAAGTCAACCATAAATGTGGAGAAAAAACCGTTAAAAATGTCATATTAATTATAAAAATATTGATCGATTGTATAATTTAGGAAACTAACTAATTAGTGTAGATTCATCGGTTAAAATTTCCATTTATTAAAATCTTAACAATAAAATCTAAACCAATCTATATTAAATCTACATATTGAAATATATTTTGTATGATTCAAAATCGAGTGTATAACATCTACATATTAAACTAGATTTTTAAACAAATTATTTAAAATGGAACAACATTCTTTCGTTCTCACAAACCATGATAATGACATGATCTTTTTGATTATGTAGCGGGTGTAGACATAGAATTATATATATTGCAAATTAAAAAAAATAACGTAAAATAGTAGGAAGATGTAATTTAAATACTAAAAATTATTTTTAATAATATGGAACTGGACATAAAAATAACAAACTGTTTTTGGCTAGGTAAAATTCTAAAATTACAAATTTTACACTAAATATGAAAATTATTAAGTTACATCTACATATATTATATCTATAGTATGATAGTTATAAAGCCACCTCTGTACATTCAATGTATTATACGGATAGAAGAATACCGAGAGTTGAACATAGCATTATATACTTCGAAATATTTCTTTTTGCATATAAGTGAATTACGATTAAGATCTAAACCATTAAAACTATTATAATCCATGGGTTAAGTGGACCGGTTAAGCATATAAAATTTTTAAATATATTTTTATTATATGTTAATAAATATAACTATTTCTAAAATATGTTTAAAAACTTAGGAGATTTAATTATTGAACCAGTATTAACATGTCTGATTTGGTTATCCAATTCACG